ACCTTGTGTGCCAGCTCCAGGGGCTTGCCCCCCTTGATGAGGATGCCGTTCTGCGCAGCCACCCCGGTGCCCACCATGACGGCCGTGGGCGTGGCCAGGCCCAGGGAGCAGGGGCAGGCGATGCACAGCACGGTGATGGACGTCTGGAAGGCAAACCGCAGGATCACCTCTGTCTGCGAGATGTGCTTGCTGTGGCCCTGGCAGGGGAGACGGGGAGCAGGTGAGCGTGCAGGACACAGCATCTCAGCGCCATCTCTGGAACTGCCACATGGTCTGCACTGCACCCTTGTTCTCCAGTGGGACCCTGCGCGCGCCTCTCACCGAGAGGCACCCTCCGCGCAGGCCCCAATGGGGAGGTGGCACAGGCCCGGGAGCCCATGTCCTGCATGTCCTGCCTCAGCTGCCTCTTCGGTGGCATGGAGGGGAGAACACTTGTTTGCAGGGTGATGTGAGGTGTACATGAGGCACCCTGTGGGTTCAGTCCGGAGTGGGGGGACAGTACTGTCCTGCCCTACGGGGTCACTGTCAGCCACCATCGACTCGGCGGCAGTGAGTTTGAGAGTTTTCAGATAGAGCGAGTGGGGCGGCTCTGCTGCGTCCAATAGGGTTGCGAGGAGTCAGAATTGACTCCGTGGCAGTGAGTTGCTGAGGTCTAGTATCCAGTGTGACCGAGGTCTATAGTGTCCAGTGTGACCGAGGTCTATAGTGTCTAGTGTGACCGAGGTCTAAAGTGTCCAGTGTGACCGAGGTCTATAGTGTCTAGTGTGACCGAGGTCTATAGTGTCCAGTGTGACCGAGGTCTATAGTGTCCAGTGTGACCGAGGTCTATAGTGTCCAGTGTGACCCATGGCACATGAGAGGGACCATACTCTCAGCACGACACTACCCTTAGGACTCTCTTCATTGTTAGGAAAGCTTTCCAAATGACCCCGTGTCCCAGGAATTTATCCTGAGGGAATAATCACACAAGTGGGAAAATACACAAGGTTATCAACATACTGCTGTCTTTCCTTTTTTTTTTTTTTTTTGGTGGTTGGGGAGGAAGGTGGTTGAGGACGGCACAAAACGGAAAACCACCAGTCCAGTCGGGGGCTTGTTAGTTGACCTGAGGCCGGGCATCTGTACTAGAGCAGGATACATTGCAGAAGTGACGTGGCACGGGCACCCTGCTGAACGAACAAAGCAAGCCCCATCGTCTCCCGGCTGAGCAGACGCGAGCTTCACTCTCAGCCCAGCTCTGGAGCGGGCCTCCCAACCACACGCTAAGCTATGCAAGAACGGTCCCTTCTGGACATGGGACTGGCCAGCATCTTCATTTTCTCACCCTTATTTCTCATCTCTCTCTCTCTCTCTCTCTGCAGGCCACCGCTTTTCTGGGTACCAGAGGTTGGGAGTCAGGATTTGCATGCTGAGAGTTTGCCCTTTGGTTGGCTTATTTTTCAAAATGGCGTGTCTCCGTGATGGAGGATCCAGGGAGACCATGTTCACTTAGTCACAACAGAAGGTGGGCCCCCTCGATCATGGAAATGGGCCCCAACCTCCCGCCGGTCTCCCTCTCCCTCTCTGATTTCGAAAGTGCTAAAGAAGGTTCAGGAAGGGTCATTCGTCTCGTGAGCAACAGTCCTCCTCAGACAGAGGAACAGATATCGTTTCTGAGACAACGTGATTTTAAGATGAAAAGGGAAAAAAATCCAACAGCGCCCCAGCGGCAAGGGTGGGCTGCTAGAAGGAGCAGGAGCCCTGTCCCCACAGATGGTGCGACAACAGTGTCTTGAAGGAACATGCAGTACCTGGGGTGCCAGCATCCGCTCTCAGGGTGCAGAGAAAGACAGAAGAAGCCAGGGTCAGTCGGAAAGGCAGGCAACAGCAGAAAGCCACCCACTCCAACCTGTTTAGGAGGGAGTTTCCCCCCAGCCTGGTGCTCTCCCTCAAAAATCAGAAAGCTCAGGCAGTTGGCTGCCAGCCAGAGCCAAGGGCGGATTCTCATACGTCCACAGAGTACTCTCCACTGCGGTCTCCCGCGATGCCAGGGAGTGCGGCACCTCTCCCTTTAGGATGCCGCAGCCCGCTGTCTTAAACGACATCTTGGTAACCGAGAGTTCTGGTCTACTGCCAGTGACAGGCAGGCATTTAAACCAAAGAAGAGGGAAAAACAATTCCTAGTTCGTGGTTTCTTATATTGTGGCTCAAAGGGAAGATAAACATTAGACTGGTCTGGCTGTGTGCAATTTTAAAATAGTTTTTAAAAATAAAGGGAGGCCGTTGTGCCACTGAGGTGGGGGGCTGTCCTCAAACACCACTTTTCCAGAACCTTCTGAGGGGCGGTAAGGCTGTCCAGGCTCAGCCTCATTCATGGCTGGGCCGGGGGCTCCGAGGGGACTGTCTTGCAAGTTGCATGTTGTCTGCCTCCCTGGCCTCTCGCCACAGGTGCCAGGAGCCACCCCCAGCTGGGACTGTCACAAACATCACCCAGCCCTGGCAAGATGGCTGTGAACCTTTCACATATGTCTAGCTCTCATTTTTGTCACAAGTTTCTTGGGGGGGTGGGGTGTCCTCCTCCATCTTTTCCTTACATGTCAAAGTATATACGTAACTATCCCATCGTCTCCCATACATTAGCAAACAAATATTTAGTCATTTGAAAACCGTTGGCATTGCTTAAAAAAGGAGGGAGGCTCTAAAAAGCTGCCTGCTAGAGCTGTGGGGCAAGCTATCTTCTGGGGTACAGGATTTATAGCCACAAGACTGGCCCACACGGCACGTGATCCATGCTGCAGGCAGAAGGGCCGGGAGGCAGTGGGTGTCTGTGACAAAGGCCTTCCTGGGAAGCAAAGGGCATCGTTAAGAGAAGGCTACAGGACGTCAGTCACTTGCCGCCCGTCTGGCTGCTGTGATAAGTGATGCAAACATAGAACATGTCGTGAACGGAGTAGCTAAAACCTACGTGAGCTGAGAGAGACAAAAGAACGAGGCGTTAACAGCAGAAGCTTATTTAAAACACAGCAGTGGCCACCCTGCCCGAGGCATCCAACTTACAGGGAAGTGTTTCTGAACAACACCAAAATCAATAAAACCGATGATAATCCATACGACCAACGTCAACGTCGAAATGACGATGATGAAGGGGACAAAATACCCACTGAACCGGTCAGCCAGCTGCTGAATGGGTGCCTGCAGAGACAAACACCAGGGCCAGGGCGATGGCAACCGGCACACCACCTCAGCGGCCCTCATAACCCACCTCCCCTCCAGGCAACGTGCCCATTCGACTGGACTCTGGGAGGAGGTCCTGTGGGAAAGCAGGAGCCACTTGGCCCTTCCGAGTGGCTTGCGCACCTTTGACATCTGGGCCTCTTCGACCAGCTTCACAATCTGGGCCAGGGTGGTGTCTCGGCCCACGTGGGTGGCAGTCACGAGCACAGAGCCGTGGGCGTTGAGGGAGCCTGCGATCACCGTGCTGCCTGGCTTCTTGGTGACCGGCATGGCTTCTCCTAGGGGGTGAAGGGCAGACACCAGCTGGCACCCAGTCTGCAGCCCCCTTGCCCCCCACCCCACCCCAACCTGGGCCGTGCCGGAAGGGATAAGTTAGCTAACCTGTGATGAGGGACTCGTCGGCCATGGTGTTACCTTCCAGGACCTTCCCGTCCACTGGGAACTTCCCTCCAGGGACCACCTTGATGATGTCACCCCGCTGCACCAGCTCCATGGGCACCTGCTCCTCTCTGCAACAGAGGCCGCTCCCATTACACACGGGGAAGAACGTTCACCCAGGCAGGTTCTGGGCAAACGGCTGGGCGTCTAGGCTCGACTTGCTGTGTGTGGGACGGCAGCAGCATTCCTTGGCTTCACTCATTTATAGCCTTAGCCACTATTTCCTGCATAGCTCCTAAGTGCCAGGCACTGAGGACGTGTAGCTGAGCACAGGACGGCCAAGCCTCTCCTCTCTCGAAGCCAGATACTGGGGAGGAAATGGGACCGCACACAGGGCGGGATCGGACCAGGCAATACATATGTGCGATCAATTCCATCTGTGGTGTAGTGGTTTTGTGCTGGGCTGCTATGCCACAAGGTCATTATTGAATGTGAATGAGGGGGAGGGCAGAGTGGAGACCCAAAGCCCATCTGTAGACAATTGGAGATCCCCTCACAGAAGGGTCACAAGAAGACATGAGCCAGTCAGCGTGCAGTGTAGCACCGATGAAACATACAACTTTCCTCTAGTTCTTTTGTTTCCCAACCCCCACTATCATGACCCACATTCTACCTTACAAATCCGGGTAGATCAGAGCATGTACATGGGTACAGATAAGAGCTCACAACACAGGGAATCCAGGACAGATACACCTCTCAGGACCAATAATGAGAATAGAGATACCAGGAGGGTAGGGAGAAGGTGGGGCGGGGAGGAACCAATCACAATGATCGACATATAACACTCCTCCCTCCAGGGGGATGGACAACAGAAAAGTGGGTGAAAGAAGACAGTGGTCAATGCAAGACATGAAAAAAATAAATAACTTCTAAATTATCAAGGGTTCATGAGGGAGGGAGGGTGGGAGGGAAAACAATGAGGAGCTGATACCAAGGGCTCAAGTAGAAAGACAACGTTTTGAGAATGATGACGGCAACAACTGTACGAATGTGCTTGACCCAATGGATGGATGGATGGATGGTGATAAGAGCTGTAAGAGCCCCCAATAAAATGATTAAAAAAAAATGATTCCGGGATAGCCTTTGCCTAGTGACATTCAAAGGCCTGCCCGGCTTGCTGTGCTGCCGCCTCCATGTGAGGGGAGTCGAGGAGGCTGGGGGCTACTGGTCTTCCACACTCGGCACCAGGGACCCTTGCTCAGCTCCGTCACAGGGTCAAGGTGTGATCGGAACAAGGGTCTGTGCTTCCGCTGTAAGCAGCCCAGGGTCAAAGGCCTGGTCTTCGTGGTCAGCCCCTGAGGACACGGCCCTGCCCAGTCCTGCCCTGCCGCTCCTGGACTCGTCCTGAGTCGGGACTGGCTCTGTGGCACTTGGTTTTACTGGTTATGCAGGGAGGGATGGGATGAACCGCCAGGGGTTGAACTTACTATCCATTTCCACAGTTCCTATCTGTGTCTAATCGCTGGCTTCCAGGCTGTACACCTCCTGAGACAAGATCTCTGTCTCTTAATGTTTGTGACCCTGGCCTCCAGTCCCCTGCGGGGCAAGATGGTTACGAACGGGTGGAGATTTTAATCTACCCAGGGGCACCTGGAAACCAATTCTCTCCCTGCACAAACCAATTGTTTGCTTAGACAGCAAGGTGTAAAGAATTGGCTGCACGTGTCCAATTTGGAGCATTTCTAAGAAACCTTCAGTAATTCTGATCTCCGCTTAGCCTAACTTGGATGCTTTTTCTGTTCTGCCTGGTGCTGTTGGGTAAACGTTGGATGGCTCACTACAAGGTCAAAGGCTCAAACCGCCAGTCGGTCTGTGAAGCAAACTGAGGCTGCCTGTTCCTGTAAAGACGCAGAGTTTAGGAAACCCCACATAGGGTCGCACTGCGTGGGAATCGATTTGACTGAATGGAAAAGTCTCTGAGCAGCTTGGTGTAAAGTGGACAGCCCTGCATGGGGTTAGCAGGGTTCTTTCTGGGGTTCAATTTCCAAACCAGTTGCTGTAGAGTTGATTCTGACTCATGGCAGCCCCGCGTGTTTCGGGGACCTGCACTCTGTCAGGTTTCCAGGCTGTGACCTTTCAGAAACAGGTTACCGGGACTTTCTTCCGAGGCTCCTCGGACTGCGAACTTCTCCCAGTGCTCAACAAGTTGTGCCCCGGGAGACTCGAAGAGTTGGCCACGTGCAGCCTGCGCCTGACTCTAACCCAGTAGAAGATACAGCCATTTCCAGGCTGGCCCTGCAGCCTGGCTTCAACACAGCACCTGGAGGGTCCGGGTCAGGTAGGTCCGCAGAGCAGACAGACCAGAGCTGACAGCTGGACAGAAGATTACAGAGACAGGAGGAGGTGATGGGTTAGAGGTGGGGCAGGAGGAGGAAGGAGCAGAAGAGGTGTCCCTGAGGAAGGCTTAGGCGGACTGGCAGAGACACTGGTGGACAAGCAGGAGTTGGGTCAAAGAGGCCAAGAACCAAAAGTCTTTAAGGATGAGAGCCCAGACGGCAAGGTAACACAGGTGATGGGTCAGGTAAGAAAAGGATGAAGGGGTCTTCGAGGGCCTTAGCAATAAAACCAAGGAAGCTGATGAGAACCCACCAGGATGCAGGAGGGAAGGCCCCAAGACCTCTCTGCCAAGGAGCTCAGTGGTACAAAGGACACAGGGAGCAGGGGCATGGGAGTGCTGAGAGGAAGCGTCCATGCCGTTGGTAAGACTCAGCCAAGCGGGAGATGCTGGGGATGAAAGAGAACCTGGGACCCGGGGCGCTATCTAAGTTTCAGCAGCTGTAACATCAGCCAGGCTTACGAAGAGGACAAAGCCCGCTCCCACTGCTGTTGGTCGGCAGAAGGAAGCCCTCGGGCCTTTGCTCGTCTCGAGAGCAAGGCTGCGCTCAGGCTCCAGTGCTCCAGAACGTCTCCCTTGGCCGCGGCTGCCCTTCCTCTTCTGCAGTCTTGGCAGCTAATCGCACGCTCGCGCCTTCCCCTTTGCCACTCAGCCTCACACCCTTGCACTCTAGGCCAAGCTTGCGGATCGAACCCACCTGATGATGACGTTGTCCTCCCCCAGGGTCACGACGGTGGCCTCCGTGGCTTGGAGAGACATGAGCTTGGCCAGGGCTTCTGAGGTTTTGCTCTGAGGAGTAACCAGAATACAAGTCAGGGTTGTTGTACACCCAGCCACCAACCCGAGACCTCCACCGCTAGGGCTGGCATGAGAGGTGGCAGGGAGAGGGCCCCGCATCAGAAGGCTCTGGCAGGACGGGGGTCGCCGGTAACTGGGCTGTGGTGTCATCACCGCAAGGCGAGGGAGCCAGTGCCATCCCGCCCGGGAATTACATGGCAGGCCTGTGCCTCATCCTTCGGTGGGACGCCGTGGGCACCATGCAGGTGTCAGCTGTGGCATGGCTCCGAGGTGGAACTGCCAAGTTCTACACTCACAAGCCACGTCCTCCCAGACGGTGTGAGCTCGGACCCGAAGCCCCAGGCCCATCCCATTCACAAGGCACCTGAAGAATAGGCTTAGTGAATCCGATTAGCTGGGATTTTAGAAGCAGCAACCAATTCGGAGCTTAGCGACCGGAGCGCCTCATGAAGACGCTGGTTTCGGATTTCTCTCTGTGTACTGTGTGTACTTAGTAATTCTAAGCGTGCGGTTCGGGTGCCTGGGGGCCCGCTGTGCGGCAGCCTGGAGCTGCAGGTACCTTGGCCACGTGCTCCAGCCACCGCCCCAGGGCAATGAACACAAAGAGCATGGGCGGCGTGTCGAAGAAGGTCACCGGGCTCCTCTCGGCCCTCTCCGCGATGGCCACCACCAGGATCACCAGGGAGTAGGCGTAGGCGATGCTCGTGGCCAGCACGATGAGCACGTCCATGTTGGCCGCCCCGTGCTTCAGAGACTTGTAGGCCTGGACGTAGAAATACCACCCGCCGAGGAACTGGAAGACAGGAGGACAGAGCCAGGACTGGGCACAGCTCACCAAGCGTCCCCTCTGGGGTGACTAATGCTCTAGAATGTTGCCACGACGACGCTGGCATCTGCCGCTGGTGTCTCTAAAGAGAAGTGTGTCTCCCAATTCAGGAATGGATGGGTCCCAGGAATGGAGACCTTTCAAAGCCGAAGGGCACAAGCTAACTGCTCACCAAGAGGAGAGTGGTCAGACAAGGTAAGTAGGGTCCATTTGCTATGGACTGTGGACT